AGTAATAGCGAATTAAAAAAAAAAAAGAATATATTTCTTACATTTATACTGTTTGAAAAATCAAATAAATAAATCCGGATGAAAAGAATTAAAGTATCACAAAATAATATGATTTTTTACGTCTTCGTAAAAGAAAATAGTTGTAATTAATATTTTCCTAATTTATGACAAAAACTTTTGATCGTGAATACTTCCTAAAATCAACTGCAAAAAACAAAAAAAAAGACGAATAATTTGCAGAAAGAGAGAAAGAGACAGATAATATTTTTCTACAATTTTTAATAAATAACTTTTGAACGCATAAATGGATCTAAATCAAGTTTTGCACAAATATTTATTAGAGTTTTCTTAATATATGTGAAAATTTTTATTTCGTTGGCAATGTTTTTTACTTGTCTTTGTCAATAAATGCTACAATACGCGATTTTTCATAAGAATCAATACTGACTTCAAATTTAAATAAATTGCAAACCGTAAGAAAATTGTGCTCAGATTTTACACAGATATTCAGAAGAAATAATAGAACAGTCTACGAAATTTTCATGCTTTTGTCAATTTTTTGACGTATGACACATACATTCTTAAATTATAGAATCAAAGAAATTTATTTCTTTCTGATTAAAATCTGTTTATTTATTTTCTTTTATTCTGCCAACAAATTCATAGCGTGACGTTTGTGTAAATTTTTCTCAGAATCTAGAGAAATATTCGCGTTTCGCAGAATGTGTCTATCTTTCCAAGTGTCCCTTCTCGCCGGATTTCAATGGCGAATTTTCCAAACGAAGCTCGATTTTTCCTTTCCCTGCGAATCTATCTCTCCGATCACGAACCGTCGAGAACCGTCGGTTACTTCCCCGCGCGAGAAATTCGCCACGTTCGATTCGTGGACGTCTTTCAATTCTTCGTCTTCCGGTTTCCGCTCACGTAGAGTCGCCCATATCAGGTACGGGAAGAGGGAACGCAGGGCGATTCAATCCCGTCGACGCACGCGATGACGTCGGCGCAACCGACGAGATATTTATTTCACGGAAAGCTCTCCCCGCTGTCTGAAGATTGATAAGCGTGCTTAGATCGAGAAACCTGGCTCCGCGAGTAAATATATCGTAAATCCCGACAAAGCTTGCACAGAGTCTGCGACAATTCGCATGTAGCGTGCGATATATATAACGGATATGCGATATGAGATGATTTCTCATAGCGGGAGAGATCATATCTGTTCCATGAGATGACGAGGATGAATAAAAAATGCGAAATAAAGGCGATTCTGGGAGAAAATAGAAGATGAAATAATTTATCTCGAGAGTAGAAGAGACTGATATAGCAATGAAGAAGATAAGAGAAATCTCTTTTTGACGGATGATTTTAGCGCAGATATAAGACATTAGAGAGCGTAATAAGAGACTAAAAAATGATAAAGCAAAAAGAAACGAAAAAGAGTAGAAAAAATGAGGATAAAAAGATATATATATATATATATACTGCAAATAAGATTACAGGAATATTAGAATAGATTAAAAAAATGATAAAGCAAAAAAAAAGTGAAAAAAGAATAGGAAAAACGAGGATAAAAAGAAACTAATCCGGACGCAACGTAAAAGGTATTAAAGTATTAATGATATTTATAAGTACGAGAGAGACTATATAAAAGCAAGCAAATATATAAGCGAAAGAAACATAACGTATAAAATATATATAATTCGTTTTAAGCCGAAAGGCGGAGGCAAAGATTTGTAAGGACGGTGCGTAATTGCGTGTACTTAATGCCTCGCAAAATCTGTCATGCAGTTTAATTAACGCTGCTAATATTGTATATAATGAGATAAGATTTAAAAAGCTCGCGGTCCAAAGAGGCATTTAATTTTTCTTTTTTTTTTTTTTTTTTACTATGTCCTATCTTCTCCGAGAACTTTCGGGACGACGACGAAAAGCCCTGATTAAAACTCAGCCGGCGCACATAATACGTTTTCAACGGTGCGTCTTGAAAGTTGACGACATCGCCGATCCGCTTATTTCCATAAGGAGATCATTCTACCTTCGAGTTTCCAAAATCGTGCCCGAAACTACAGCCTTAGACCGCACTTATGTAAATTCGCGTGTCTCCTTGAAACGTCGAAGATATAAACAGAAGCAGGCGACTCGCTCAGCATAATTGATTATAAATATAGAAGAGAGACTTCTCTTAAAATCATGAAAAAAGAATCCTTTTATTTTTCCAGGTACATATAGACTCTATATAACACTCTTTAAGGATGTATGTGTCATATGTCAAAACATTGACAAAAGCATGAAAATTTCGTAGACTCTTCTATTATTTCTTCTGAGTATTTGTGCAAAACCTGAGTACAATTCTCTTAACAGTTTGGAAATTATTTAAGTTTAAAATTAGTATTGATTCTTATGGAAAATCGCGTATTGTAATACTTATTGACAAATTTGACAAGAAAAAGACATTGCCAACGAAATAAAAATTTTCACATATATTAAAAAAACTCTAATAAATATTTGCGCAAAACTTTATTTAGATCCATTTATTCGTTTAAAAGTTATTTACTAAAAATTATAGAAAAATATTATCTGTCTCTTTCTCTTTTTCTGTAAATTACTCGTTTTTTTTTTGTTTCTTGCAGTTGATTTCAAGGGGTATTCACGATCAAAAGTTTTTGTCATAAATTAGGAAAAATATTAATTACAACTATTTTTTTTTTATAAAGACCTTAAAAACTATATTATTTTGTGATACTTTAATCCTTTTTATAATCGGGATTTATTTATTTGATTTTTCAAATAATATAAACATAAGAAATTCGTTTCTTTTTTTATTTTGACAGTTTTTTGCTACTATTGTACAGCCAAAACAACCTTAATTCCGTTTTTAAAATTTAAATTCTAAAACAAGAGAAATTTTAATTGAATTTGCAAAATTATATTATTCAATTTTCCTCAACTTTTAAATTCTAATCGACAGTATTCCGTTCTTGTAAAATTTTAATTGCCAGAAAAGTTTTAACACTTGTTTCTAATGATACCAGAAAGGGATTAAATCATTGCAGCTTCCTCGAACACGTGGTGCATTAATTATCCAGTCTATTAAATTGCTCTGAACCCGATGGCCGGTCTCTAATTAAATTTAGCGCGCCGATTACCGCACTGGTGAATTTCGCTCACATAGATCTTCGAAATTTCTAGATCCAAAAATAAATTTCTAGATTTTATTTAAAGTGTTATATTTTGTCATTAAAAAAATTTTAAACCAAATTTAATCCATTCAGTAAATTTGTAAAATCTTGAAAAGATGTTGAACTCCATATACAGGGTGTATCTGAAATGATGCACTAAACTTTAGGAGCGTATTCTAGAGATCAAAATAAGACTTTTTTTTTCTTATGAACATGGGTTCGCAAATGAACCCCCCTCCGAGCTAAAATTCGAAAATGTGTGAAATACGTTTTTATTTTTTCATTTTAGTGGTTTACTTTACTTCATAATTTACTGGGCTATACCAAATTTCAACCTTCTGCCATTTTTTTTTTCAGAAATACAGCCAATTTTTAATTTTTTCCCCAAACTTTAGGGACCTCTAGCTCGGAGGAGCGTTCATTTGCGGACCCATGTTCATAGGAAAAAAAGTCTTATTTTGACCTCTAGAATATGCTCCTAAAGTTTAATGCATCATTTCAGATACACCCTGTATACTGCTGTTGTAAGTTGGCATTGAAACAAGATTGATTGGGAAATCTTCTTTTCACTGGCGCTTTTCTATGCATTCTGTATTATAGATTTATTGTCGATGGGATGATGGTGGTGGCTTGACGCATTGTTTGTTCGCGTTAGGGCCGAAAAAAATGGAGTAAAAGCGACGTTGAACTACTTGTTAGCATGTTAATGCGAGGAGCTGCTCGTACATGGCTGCTGCTACCACGAGGGTATTATTGATGATCCAAACGACGAAGGAGCGAAAGCGACGAGAGCGAGGCTCTTGTGTAAATAGCAGGTGTAAACGCGAGGCTGTAATAATAGTCCTGCGACGCATGATGATCTACGAGAGAACCGGTGAACCGTCTGTCTGTAATGATCAATAAATTGAATCGGAGCGATCACGCCACGTTTCGTGCAGGGACATGTGGTCGACGTTTCCAGTGGAATTAGATTCATAAATAATTAGAAATAATTTAAATTATTCAATCTTCTCACAACTCTTTCTCTTATGATGTACATATAAATTTTCCACGTTCCAGAACATTTTTATAATTTTTATAAATATTTTTTGCTCTTCTGCTGCCTATAGCGTATTTCTGAATTGTTTTTTTTTTTTTGCTTTGTTTTTGTGACAATTTTTTTTTTTTATAGTTTTCTATGCCAATGTATTTAGAATCTTCCAAAACGTCGAAAAATCACATTTTTTTTAAATGTCCGTGTGTGTATATATGTTTGTATGTATGTACAAAATATCTGTGCAAGTTCTAACTTCCGCAAATTTTGAGATACCGGGCTAAATTTTTTTAAAATTAATAGAGTATTATTAAAGGATGGTTGGTATTGAATTTGATGAGGATCGGTGAAAGAGTTCATTTTTTATAAAATTTTGAATTTGTTGAGAAATATCTGTGCACGCTCTAACTTTCGCAAATTTTGAGATATCAGGCTAAATTTTTTTACATGAATAGAATATTATTAAAGAATGGTTGGTATTGAATTTGATAAGAATTGGTGACAGGGTTCATTTTTTATGAAATATTAAATTTTTTGAAAAAAAAATTTTGCAAATTCTGCAAAAAAATTGTGCTATTTCTGCAAATTTCGATATATCGGGCTAAATTTTTTAACATGATAAAGCTTCCTCTATGAAGATATCAAAATTGAAAAATCCATTTGCTCTGAGAAAGAGCTTTGTGAGCGAAATAAGATTATGAGGAAGCAAGTTTCTAATCTGCACGATTTTTTATTTTTTCATTTTTATCGTGATTATTCGAAGCGAGATTGAACGGCCGTTTTTGTTACAGAAGTTCTGTTTCACCGTGAAATGGAGCGCTCGAATAGATCGCGCAAATAACGCGATCGCAATTGATCCTGCGGACAACATTCGTGAGAAAGGGTCCTCATCCACTTGGGCATTTTCGACGAGGCGCTGCTCCGTTAACCGACACTCGTGTGCAACATGTTCGGGACGAAATTGCGCACGTGGATGGAGGCACACATCGTGCGATCGAAGAAGAAGAAGGACCGGAAGAAGGGTGACAAGGGATTCGACTCGAACTGCAACTCCCCTAGGAGCCACAGCGCCAACAGATCACCTGCTTTGCATCAGGTGAATAAATTCATCAATCAAATTTCTCAATCATTTTACAAAATAATCCTAAGATGTCTATAAATCGATGACGTTCTCTATAATTATTATCGTGAATTATTTTATAAGTTTATTTAAGCTCCAAAGATGATCTTTCCATTGTTTTTTGTCGCGTTTTATATGTATATTTTATGGTATGATAATTTATATATTATATTTTAATATTAAAGTCTATATCAAATATTTTTTTGATATAGATTTTAAAATTTTTCTCATTGAAAATTACATCTTTCCTTGAGAAAGATTCCTTGCAAATTCGCAATTTATAAAATTCGATATAAATGAATGGTTTAATTTTCTGGCAAGAAATTTTCAGAGATTTTGAATTTCTTTATTTCAACATTTTTGTAGATTTATACGCGATGCACATGTTTTACGTCAATCTAATAAATACTAATTGCTCTAGCCGCGATCGTTGCAAGACTCTGAAGTATATTTGAAAAGCGCACGTTCGCCGGATTCATCGTCATTATCGGCAAACTAGTTTGCGAAGTGCTTCCCCTATTTTCCTACTGCTTGCCAGCGTTTGCTCGTTACGCTCGTCCGCGCTTTCCCCGCTAACAGACCCTTACGTCGGCGCTTTCCATGGTAGGGGCGGCCAGGGCACGTCGACGCTTATCGTTAAGGCGGATAGAAAAAGAGTTTAGTATTCTTTACCCGGCACACCCTGGTGGCAGGCAGGGTCGCCCTCGTTCTCGCGCCATCCGTTGCAGTATCTTCGGGCTTTATGCAGTCTGCGGATGGCTGCCTTATCGAGATTGTACATTACGGAGGAAGCGCTGAAAATTTATGAATTCGCGTTATACATAAATTTTCTTCTTTTATTGTGCATCGGCGTATCTTCCGAATTATTATTCTACGCGGAATTTCTCTCCAAGTTATTAACACATTTGGTAATTTTAGTTTAAATTTGTAAGATATGATTATAAATACATATTTGATATGAAGAATAAAAATGTTTTCTAAATTTCCTTTTTAATAAAAATACTTTTTTTATTATTCCAAACATTCTAGATCCATAAATTTTTTGAATCAATATTTTTATAAATCTTTTTATTTAAATAATTAATAATTTTATGGCAAGTCTCAATATAATTTAGAAAAATTAATTATAATATTTTTTTATAACTACGATTAATTATTCAATGATTTTCTCTATTCTGTTAGAATATTATAAAACCAGGATTTCTACTCTTAATTTATTATAATTTATTATAATGAGGTCAACATTATTATTAAAAAGTTTGCAAAATATATAGAAAAATAATTTTATAAAAGTAATCTGCATTTATCTTTCATATATTTATTAGACTTATATATACGAGTTGAAAGATTTTTTTTACTCAAGAAAAAATATATTCGACAAATCAGCAAAAAATCAAAATCGTGATTACGCATTTACAGAGAAATCTTAATCTTCTTTTCAGGTACATCCGATAGACTCACCGACGAAGAACGTGGACGGTATCCGGTTGCACGAGGGCGGCTACGGGGCGACCGTGACCACATCGTCCGGCACTTCCGGCGGTACCGCCGGAAGCGTGAGTCTCTCCTCGCCGGAGAGCGCGTACTCGACCGGCTACTCGACCGACGGCACTTCGCCCGGCACCAGTTTCCCGCCCGAATATTACATCAACATCAGGACTGGCACTCACTACTTCCAGAGCAGCGATAACGGCGGTGCGAACACTACCACCACCACCACCATTACCAATAACAATAACAACAATAGCAAGGCCAGGACGAAGAGGTCGCCGGGTGACGCCGGGAATCTACTACCGGGCGCATCGGGAAATGGAAGAGTCGAAGACAGGGGACAGTCATCCGCGAACACGACGAACATGACCAGGGATAATGGTCAGCCGGAAGTACGAACCAGCACGCCACACAAAGTAAGTGCATTGCCCATAAATTGCAGAGTTATATAACAGAGATCTGAGTTGATAATAGCAGGATTTCTACTCTTTGGAAAAACCTAGAAAACCTGGAATTCTCAAGGATTTCGTTTTTACCTTGAAAAATCATCAGGGAATTCTCATGGAATTTTATTTGAACTCAGGGAATTTTTTCAAAAATTCTATCTTTGATCAATTTGTTCTTATATTGCAAATATCGGCAATCTAATTAGCCAATGATTGTGAATTATATATTTTAAATATATTATAAATTTATATCTTTTTCTCTTTGATTATATATTCATTGTCATAGCAAAAAATACTCAATACACAATAGAGAGTACACATTGTTTATTGTAATTCTTACAATTAATAACAGAAAATGAAAATATTATGCAAATGAAAAATGCTTATCTTACAAAAATCATTCAGTTCTTTTTAGTACATTTTTAAATTTAATATTTAAAATTTAAGTGATTTATTTTTCCTTCGTGTGAGTGAAAAGCATTAGAAAACGCACACCAAAAAAAAAACTTATTTTAAAAAATTCCATCTAAAAATTCTCTAATTTTACCTGGAATTTTAAAATTTTAAATTTTAAAATTTACAAATTATCTGAAAAATTAGGGAATTTTTTTACAAGCTTTGGATAGACAGCCTGAAAACTTTTCGTTTACGCATCGAAGATGCTTAGTATCTCTTGACAAGTCTTGTTTCAAATATATCAATTTTAAGAGAGAGACTCGAAATACTCTTGAGAATTAAGAAAATTAGAAAAAAATGAATTTTTAATACATGATGATTTTTCTTGATAAAATTCCAATTCAGATCTTTTTTTGCAAGCTTTGGATAGACACTCTGAAAACGTTTTGTTTACGCATCGAAGATGCTTACAATTAGTCTCTTGACAAGTCTTGTCTCAAATAAATCAATTTTAAGAGAGAGATTCGAAATATTCCTGAAAATTAGGAAAATTAGAAAAAATTGATTTTTTATTACGTGACGATTTTTCTTGATAAAATTTCAATTCAGGTGTTGACTATGGAACGTTAGAGAAGCGTGCACTATCGCGAAGTTTCGAGATGCCTCGATATAATGTATTCACACAAGATGTGGCTCCTCTATCAAACGCTACGCGTTCCTTTCAACCTCCCTCAAATAGTTTATAGGCCGAAAGCAAATGCGCTTCTCGAGTTCGTCGCACGAGTTGGTCGTCGTTTCGCTTAAACACACCCCCGCGCGCGAGGTGTCTCGAGGGTGCATTTGTTCGCTGACGGAGTCTTTGAAGCCGACGAGTTCAACGACATCCGGCCTCTTTCGCCAAGCAGGAAGTATACATTTTGGAGTAGCGTTTATCGCCGCAGTACATACTGCGGGAGAGGTAAACAGTAACAAGTAACAAGGCTTATGAATTCCTTTCGACGAATTTAACTCGCGAAGCGCGAGTTTGTCTGAGAAGCAACAACAGAAGCGCCTTCGTGGAGCACGTGCTGCAATTTGTCAGAGAAAGATATTTATTAGCCGCATTGTTGTATTCCTCCAGAAGGATGCGGCGCGAATAGAGTGAGGAATTCTAGAAACGTTGCTCCAGCTCGTGCTTTTTTCTCAAGATTTCTTCTCTCGCCGACGAGTTACGCGACTCGACAGGGCGATGTATTATTGTCGTGAAGAACGTGCGCCAGAATATCGGGAGTTAATGGTCGCCGGGAGTGAAAAATGAATCCTTCCTCCTCTCCAGGCTGTGATCGATTGCGTGTTGCACACCGTGTCAGCGACCCTCGTTTCGGTACAATGGAGAGAGAAACGATCGAGTTTGCGATCTAGATTGACGGTAAAAGCGAGAATGCGCGAACAGAGTGACAAATATAAAGGCACTGCTCTAAACAGAGAATTTTCGCGAATTAATTTTCGAGCAAAGCGAACATTTTTTTTTCACAACGTGACAGGAGACTCTTCAAGTAAAGATTAATTCGTATAACATATATTTTAGCAGAGAAAATTCTATTAAACTCGAAATTCTATTAGACTCTTTTAATTCGAAATGCAATCTAAATTGAACGGTTCAGATGGTTTTTCTCGTGTCAACAATAGTGCTATCGATTCTCCCAATGTTCGTACCTTTAAAAGTAATTACTGTTTTCATTTCATTATCTGTAACGATTCCCATAAAACATGTACTATCTCATTAAATGATAATTAGGGTTGCACGGAGATATCAAGACTGGTCTCGATATTATCTTGTCTTGTCTCGAAATTCAAGACAAAATCAAGACAAGACTTTTAATTAGTTATCAAGACAACATCAAGACTAACACTGTCAAGATTATTGATTTTTAAAAAAAGCTAAAATATATTTGTGTGTAAATTAAATGAGAAAAAAATCACTATATTATACAAACTTAAAACACTCGGTTCCAATTAAGGTTGCACGAGATATCAAGACTAGTCTTGACTTGTCTTGTCTCGAAATTCAAGACAAGATCAAGACAAGATTTTTTAATTAGTTATTAAAATAATACCAAGACTAACGTAAGATTGTCAAGATTATTGGTTTTAAAAAAAAGAAAAAACTAAAATATATACATATACTTGTGTGTAAATTAGATAAGAAAAAGATCATTATACAATATTATACAAACTTAATATATGTATATAGTTTTGGGAAAATAAACGAATGACATCAATGGCAATAATTATCTTTAATTATTATATATTATAAAGATTATATATGTTAAATATTATTTTAAATAATTATTCTGTATTAGATAAAAATTGTTAATAAAATCGAGATAAGACAATACAAAACGAGATTTTTGTTACAAGATTCACTCGAGATCAAGACAAGGTTTAAATTTCCGAAAATTTTCAATACTAATACAATATTTTATTAAATATTGTCTTGTGCAACCCTAATGACAATCAACCAATTTCACTAACGTAAGTTAATATTAAGCACAATTTTAAAAACCTATCTTTCTCTTTCGTTCTCTCTTTCTTGTAACGCTAGTTGTCATAGATAAAAAGTGAGATCAACCACGATCGTAATTGACGAAACCAATTTTATAAAGCCTAATATAATTCAAGACCTTTTCCTTTCATCCTATCGCAGAACACGGAAACGAATCATAATCAGAGGCAGCAACAGCAGACGCAGCAACCGAGGCAGCAAGGGAGCTCGCATCGCCGAACGGAGTCGTTTTCGGCCGATTCATCGAGGAACAACCTGCCCGTACCGTCGTCGATACCGCCGCCGTTGGTTTCGCCACCGGTGCAATCGCCCCGCGAACGTTCCCGCATCCGGACGAACCCGTGGCTGTCGGCAAACTCGTCTGGTTCCAGCACGAATGGCCTGAAATCGCGACACGCCCGGGACGAGAGCAGCGGCAGCTCCGGCTTGAAGCTCACGGAGTCATCGGGCAGCGCCAGCGACGTCAACCTGAATCTGAACAACAGCAGGGAGTCTCAGGGCAGAAGGGAGCATCGTCAGGAGAGCCTCAGCGCAGGTCGAAGCCCGTAAGATATTTTTTTCTTATATATATTGCAGGCATATTATAAAATGCCTAGGCATTTTACAATAAACCGGCATAACGAGGATTTTTTATAGTTTTATAGTTAAAGTATTAGTTTCTTTTTATAATACACACACATGCCATATAAATTATGTATATGTGCACTGATAACAAAATCGATGATAAAATTGACTATAATTGCGTGGTAAAAAAATTATAATCAGGATACTCATTTTTATAGTCATCATCTCATCATTTTTATAGTAAATTCTATTATAATACTAGTAATATTAACCATATATGCATGCACTATATACTATATACAATCATATACTATAAATTATAGTGAATTTATAGTAATTTCAACTATATTTTTTTATCAGTGTATATACTTCTTAATATTAATGTCGAGAAAGGGCGAGAAAGCCATAAAACTCTTGTTATGCGGGCTTATTATAAAATGCCTAGGCATTTTATAAAATGTCTAATTTTGTATTATGTCTGCAACATATACAAAGTGATGTACGATCAGTGTAACTACGTTTCTGAGAAACAAGCTGGAAATCGTGCAAATTAGAAACTTGCACATTGCTTCCTCAGCATTTTATTTCGCTCACAAAGCTCCTCTTCAGAGCAAGCGAGTTTTTCAATTTTGGCTTCCTCATAGAGAAAGCTTTGTGAGCGAAATAAAAAGATAAAGAATCATCGGCGCAATTTCAACCCGATGTTGGCTTTAGGAGTTCATTGGCAGGCCGGCATCGGGCCAATATACGCCCATGTTTCCAATGTTGACAAATCCCATCTAGGATATTACAAAATATTCTTTTTTAATTCGAAAATTTACATTTAAAAAAAATTTAAATTTAAATTCAAAATAAAAAAAGAACCCTTAAATAAAAATAAAAAATAAATCCTTTCACCAATTCTCCTCAAATTCAATATCAACCATCAATTAATAATACTCTATTCATGTTGAAAAATTCAGCCCGATATCTCGAAATTTGCGGAAGTTAGAGCGTACACGAACATTTTTCAAAAAATTCAAAATTTCATAAAAAAATGAAACTTTTCACCGATTCTCGCCAAATTCAATACCAACCATCCTTTAATGATACTCTATTTATTTAGAAAAATTTAGCCTGATATCTCGAAATTTGCGGAAGTTAGAGCTTGCACAGACATTTTTTGAAAAATTGAAACTACCTTAAAATCTAAAACACTGTATGAATTTTTATAAAAATGATAGTAAATAAAAGCTTCCTTTATGAGGAAGTAAATGAAGAAGCAAAAAGATGTAACTAGATTGTTAGATATCAATTAAATTAAAAAATAACTATAACGACAATTAATTAAATATTGGGATGAGAGATGACCTGTTCGTCGTAGAAATAGAAATGCAAAAATTAAAAGTGATTAAATAAAGAAAATAAAAATTTCATGTATTTCTATAGCTGTATCATTGATCTCGGAATCAATCCGATTTTTCGTAGAAGAAACTTTTAATTGCATAAGTTGCTGGCTGTCGGAAAGCGTTTCGCGGTCGTCTTTCTTTCCCCAAATCTGTTGACTTTTCTAGTCTTCTATTCCGTTCGAGGTAGAAGCGATGTACTTGAAGGAAAAGTTAACGATTAGAAAAGTTTGCGAGACAAGAAAAAAAGCAGGAAATAAAACCATCTTATTCGCCAATCTCGAGTGCAACAACGAGAATACAGAGACTTGTATTGGATGGTGATTTTCTCTTTTAAATGAAACGCACACATCAAATTTAATTTTTAATTTCGCAATTAATTTCGGATTACATATTACGCGTGATGTCATCAATCGATAATTCCTCTTTCGCAATACGATTATTATAATCAGCAAATTGCGCGTGTACTTTATTATAATTGTACATTTATAACTTGCACATTCGCTTAAAATCGCATTTTGCGTATCATTACACATTCTGTATGGAAATAAATATCGCCCGATTGCATAAATTATCAGTGCACGAGTATCATTGCATTGATTATGATCTGTTCATATAGTTTAATGCACCGAGCGTATCTAAATAAAATTGTTGTACAACCACAAGAGATAAAATTTTAAATTATTAAAATAACAATTTTCAAACTTTATTCTTTTATAAGTGACTTTACATACTCTGGGGGGGACACACGATTTATAAATAAAAAACTAAACTAGATAAATTAAAAATAAAAATAAAAATAACTTCTAAATTAAAAATAAAACGAATAAAGATAAGAGTCGTATCCTCTTGCAGGATCAATCAAAACTGGAGGATTACATCGGGCCTGGATCTTCGACCCAAGATTCCTCTATCTTTGCAACGACGAGCCAGCAGCAGTAGCTCCTCGGCATCCTCGGTGACGCGAAGCGCGCGTTCGTCAGAGGACGACATCACCCTGAACGAGATGATGGGCAAGTTCGACGAGAGCTACGTGTACGAGAAGGAAACGGATATCCTGTCGGACAGCGATCCGACCGACTGCGAGGATTACATCGACTCGCTGTCGGACATCGATACCGGCCAGGATGGCGGCGACGAGAACGATCCGTTCGAGAACGACGAGCTCGATTACATTGACAACGGCTCGTTTCTCGATCTGGACAACCTGGAGTGCGGTGGCGCCGGCCATTTCCCCAATACCGGCCACTGTACTTACTTCGCCTTCACAAGCGAATTGAACAGGCGCGGCACCAGGCTCCGCGACTCCATTCTCAAGCGCAGGAACAAGGATGAGATCGGCTCTCAGAGGTGAGCTTCTTGAAAGCTTTCTCCCAAATTACCAAGATCTATTTCTTTTCTTGTCATTTTCCATTTGCCAGATGATACTTAGATTATCTATCATATATCTCTGTTATATTGCCAGAAATGCGAATGCAAGAGCCAGCGCGAAAAGACAGAGCGCGCGACACAAGAAGACAGATGACAAGCAGAGCGAGAAACGCAAGAAGAGGATATCGCAGCGTCGCAAGCCTGCTCTGGACCGATGCGATGATGAGACAGCGAATTTGAATCGCGTGCTGGTGGAGAGGATGCTACTGAAGAATTCAGGATTCAATCAGGGCAGCAGAAGCGTGGGCGGCACACCGATGTGCCTGCGACGCAGGAAGCACGATGTCAACAAGAATCTCTCGCCGATGAGGGTGAACGATAACTCGTCGGTCGTCAGACCCTCCGTAATCGAGAATGAGATCGTGAAGAGACGATCAAACTCGGTAAGATCCGAATTCAATTTGTGTCACATATATGACTCGTCTTTTTAAGTAAAAAAAAAAAAACTTAATTATATTTTTTATTTTTTTTATTTCAAACTCCTGGAATTATATGTGCCTTATTTAAGGTGTTAGATTATATTATCTTGTTTCTCTTCAAGGTGAGCTACGTAAACGGCAACATAGTACGGCGCCATGTAGCCGGCAACACGTACATGACTACATTTGCGTCGGAGATCGCGCTGATGGAGGCCGATAAAGAGGCCGATCGTAAATATCGTGAACTCATCTTGGAGGCGGAGAACATTCTCGTGAGCATGCAGAAGCACCAGAACCCGTCACTGTGCATACCATCTCCATCGCGTAAACTGCACAACGGTCTGGCTAATAAGCGCGTCGAGCTTATCAAGAATACGGAGTTGAACATTGAGTTGGCGCTATCCAAGAGCCGTAATTCCCAACCGGAATTACAAAGCGGTAACATTCGGGATCTGGAGCACACTAGTCCGAAACGGCAATTCACTCAGCCGTGTTCACCGATCCACCGATTCATGGAGAGAAACTCGCCGGCTGGAACTTTCGCACCGAAGGAGCCTTCTCCGCCCGCCTTTCGACAACATGAATTTTCTAAGTGTCCGGATTCGCCGGCAATGCTGCGCAGGACGACGCCCCAGAGCTCGCCCAGCAGAAGCCTGATGCATCACCAGATACATCGGACACGCAATGGTGGTGATCCAGAACCCAAGGAATGCAACAGATCGCCTCGAATCGCTTTGAATTGCAACGGCGGATCGAGAGTGGAAGCGGTAGACATGAAGAACTCTCATGGGGATAAGATGCACGCGAACGGGATGAGTTCCTCTCTCGCCGGAGGTAGAAAGGAGTTTCGCGCCGCGAGAGAATCGACAAAGGAGGAAGGTGTGACGTCCAGCTCGTCGGATTCCGAGGAGAAATGTGACGTAAGACGAAGGGCTCCGTTGATGACCTTCAGGTTAGTAACTATTTAATGAAATCTTGAGCGATTTTCGAACTGTAATTTAGTTGAAAATTGGAAATATTTTCTTTAAATTTAAAGCTCCTCGTTAGTTTTGGGAGAAATTTATCTGAAAAGATTGCTAGAACTCCGTTGATGACCTTCAGGTTAGTAACTATTTAATGAAATCTTGAACGATTTTCGAACTGTAGTTTAGTTGAAAATTGGAGCAATCTTCTTTACTTTATCATGAAATTATTAATTTGTTTTAACAAACAAACAAATAAAATCTGAAGTATAATAAATACGGGTGATCATCGATTATTTGTAACAAAGAAATACCTTGTAGGTCAATCGACATGGGTCCCATTAAAGAAGGTTCTTCTTATTGTCCGCAAAGTGAACCGGTGAAAAGGAAGGTGTACGCCGGAAGCGCAACATATGGCAGAATACAAAAGACACTGGGCGAGCACATTATGCTGAGAAACTCTGACGGCGATACAGCGACAGATGATACTGGTAGATGTTTTTCTTATATCTTCTTCTTTCGTAACACTTTCGAAGAAATACTTCCTTCTCTTTTTATGATATTAATTGTATTATGCGATGATAGATATATCAGATATTTTAATATGTAATTCTAAATCTCGTTCAAATTGATTTGATTCGCAACAAAACAGTAATAATAGAAACATCGCGTTCCATTGTCCAAAGAATCAGACAAACTACTTTCATTTTCAATTTTTCTTATTTTATTTAAAAAAAGACGAGATTGATTAAGTGATTTATTATAATATTTTTCTACTTCAACTTTTAAAATTACGTTAATTATCTCATTTTAAGTTAAACAAAGTATAAAAATTTAATTGACCTATCACAGCTGAAATCTATTCCTCTGTGAATATTGTGAAATGATTTCATGCACGCATAGATGATTCAAGAAGATCTCTGAAGGAGAAAATGGCGCAATTACGACAAGTACGACTGGCAGCTGAGGCAAACGCGAACAACATCCAGGATTCACAGTTCTTCCAGCATCAGCTGTCTCAGCTACGACGGCAGATGCTGATGCAGACGATAGAGGGTCTGAAACGCAGTCTCGAAGACCAATCAGCCACTCTGAAACAAACTTGTCTGGAACCGACGACCCTGTTGACCGACGAGTTGCCTTGAAGTTAACCGGTCAACTTGTTTCCGGTCTATCATGCCGCACGATCATGACTAAAGAATTTACGACATTTCGCTCTACTCCTTGTTCGAGGAAAAGATGGACATCGGACAGGATCGAAGTTACGAGTCCTTGGCGAATCCGCGATTGGTTAACTCGCCGCGCGCACTGCGAGAAGTATTGATCAAGTGCGGCGTTTTCTCCATGCGCGCCGAATACCGAATTATTATAATGACGCGATCCTCCTCGGGCTCGACGATACCGTGGTCGGCTGAGTGCGGGTGGTGCGCACATTAAATCTCTATTTTTCTGTCCGTCTACATGATATGTATGCATGAGAGAAAGTGAAAAAGGAAAGAAGAGAGAAAGAAAGAATCGAAATTGAGAATGTCGTGTATCCTTGTTGGGCATTGTTCCACTCTGTTATTCGTTTCACACAGTAATTAACGTTTCTCACGAACTTTCCTTTCGTCTTTTAGTTTGCAACTTCGCGCAAATAGGCCGACTTTCGGTTGCCGCTTTAGATTAGCTTTCGCTAGCTCGATTCTCATCGTTCGATTTATCGTCGTGT